TCAGAAGAAGAAGGGGCTTCTTTGCTCAAGTGGGTGTCCTGATAGCAGTCCCAGATGACAAATGCTGCTTAAGGATGAACAGGAGGACATTTATGGCATGGAATATTAGGCACTTTTGAAAATGTGACTCAAATTGATTGACTTTGCAGTCTAGCTGGAAGTCAGTGGAATGAAAACTGCTAAGCCACCTTGGTGTTCTCCCTGGGAAGCTGGCAGGACGGGGCTTAAGATGTCCCTTGATATTCCTCAAAAGATTCATCGTTCTTTTGCAAAGCCCATCTGGAGGGCAGCTAAGATGAGCAAACATCTCTGTCTCCTCTGTCCCCCCTTCTGACTCAAGTGAGCCCTTATTTTGGAATAGGGCAGTGCTCTTGCGGCTCAGGAAACGGAGACCCCAGAAGCAGCCCATTTACCTTAAGTCTGAAATCATAAAAAAACCCCAGTGAGCCTGGCTCCAAAGAGGATGCAGAGAAACAGCTTTAAGCTGAAAAAGTAACAAATGGCTTTTTCTTACCAGTGGTGCTGGCAGAGGCAGATGGCTCGTGCTCTGTAAGCACTCATCCCTGCTGAAGTATTAGTTACCTGCCCTCAGAGAGATTCCCAGTTCAGCCCAGTCCCCCAGTCAAATCTCCCAAAAGCGGTCTAGAAGATGGCTGGGAAGTGAAGCCAGAGAAATTCAGGTAAGAAACAAGGCATGTAATTTAACAGTTAGAATAACTATGGCAGTGGAGGGTCCTCCCCCTAAAAATCAGTTCTTGTCATGACTGGGCACCTTGCTGGAAGAGAAGCTTTAGCCAGCCCGAGTTACTGAGTCCGGAAATCCAGGAGGCAGTGACGGATGAGAAATCAGATTGCTGGTGGTGGTCCCTTCTGGCTGTAAGCTTTAAATAAAAGCCTGAAGCATGTGCTAAGTAGGGGGCAATTGCCTTGAGGATGGTCTTGGCTATCACCCCTCATTAAAAAATGTCTGTTCTCTTTCGCAGTACTAGATCCTTGGGTCCCTATAATTAAAGAAATAAAACGTATGTTCAGGACATACTTTCCAATGCTCTGGGTTGCTGTAATAAAGAAGGGAAGGTGCTGCTAGGCTGCTTAGAGCTTTACTATTTTGAGCTGTCATGGGCAAATATATCTTCTATATTCTTGCCAGGAATAGAGGGAGCAGACGGTGCTGCTGCTTCTTCCAGCTTGCCATAGTGGAAGCGATAAGTTTTATGCAGAAGGCTATTCATGGCAAAGTGAGCAGGCATCTCTTCCAGAACATCGATGTTTCCTGCTTGTCCTTTTGTAGGAAGAGCCGCAGCTATTATTACTTAACCAGCAGACCCAGTTTCATCTCAGATACTGGAAATTCTTCAGCTCCAGGGAAGGAGTGGGTGGACTAAAACTGCTATTACATTGAGTCTGGCAAAAGAAACGGGTCTCTCTGTTATCCCGTGACCAGCAGTAACTCCGCTGATGGCAGCTTGGTTACTCGTGATTTACGGTGGCGTGGGAGGATAGCAGAGCCTGCGCATTTAATAGGCTGGAAGTGCAAGTGGCCGGCCCTGTGCATGGGTGAGGGGGTGGACCTGGTACTTGCAAAGTCGTAGAGATGAGCTGCAGACCAGACAGCGTTTGGTAGCGATGCGCCTGGAGAAGCTCTGGCTCCTGGGCAGCAGGAGGGTTGGGTATCAGCGACTGCTTAGGTTTCCCTGCCTTCCAGAAAAGGACCCACCTTCCCTGTGCTCTTGCTTCAAAGGTATTCAGATGGAGAGCATGACGCCTCTGCTTTGAGGTGATGTCAAAACCATCTGTGATCTTATCCTGATGATTGAAAAGCAAGTTACATAGTACTTCATCTTTCAAGCACGGGGGAGCTCTTGGCTGAGCAGGAGAGCTCTCATGCATGGGTGGTATCCACCAACCAGTTGCGCAGCCGTCTGTAGCTTTGCTATGAAGTGACATCTCTCGGCTCTTCCTTGTCTTCCCACAGCCACCACAGGCAGTGCCATGCAGAAGGACAGCTGGAGTTCTGCCTGCCTATGGGTAGGAGGTCCTGCTTCCCACAAAGTCTGAACTCCAGAGGGGTTGGTGCCTTGTGGGAGCGAGACACCAGCTCAACCTGTGCCCAGTGTCTGCTTGCAATTTGGTGAAAGTTGGGAGTTGCTCTGAGCCTGCTTTTCTGTGAGGCAGCGTTTCAAGGTGGTGTATGAGCATCGGCTCATTAAAGCTCGTGCCCTGATGATAGACAATATTACTCCTGTTTTCTATGAGAGGGTAGGAAGGTGGGTGAAAAGATGTTAAGCAGTTGAAGGTCATGTAAATCGTGTCCATCCAGGTGTTCTTCCTCTAGCGCTCATGCTGTTTTGTTTCAGCATCATTGCCAGCACCAGTGTTAGGCATCCTAGTGTGTAGACAAGGCAGTAACGTCTTTATCTTGTCTAGCTTAGATAAAAACTCCAGATATCCTGCTGATAAAAATTCTGTTGGCAGATGTCCTATCTGTTGTCCCTCCTGCAAAGGGGGGTGGGGGTGGGGTGGGAAAGTAAAAGGGAGGCTCTGGTAGATGGGATTAGAGCTGTGGACTTCTGCAAGAAATTACAGCTTGGGGGACAAGACTTGTAAGTCGATGAGTTAGGACCATGGTGTGCTGAGAAGGGAGGTGCTGAAGGCCCTGGGCTGCAAGCAGACCCCTATCTCCAATGCTCACGTGCCCCTGCTGATCTTGGGAAAATGGGAAAATGTGGGCCCTCTCCGGAATGAAACAGGAGACCTGGTTACCCAGGACACGGAGAAAGCGGAGGTACTCAATGACTTTTTTGCCTTCACCGGCAAGTGCTCGAGCCTCACCGCCCAAGCCGCAGAAGGCAAAGGCGGGGACTGGGAGAAT